TTGATTAATCTGTTCAACAACTGTACAAGTTGTGACAATTAATGCTTCCCTATGTGGCTCTCCCAAAGACTCTCAATGCTGTACTGGACAGACCATCTCTACAAAGCAAGAGGAAGTAATCCAATTGTGACATGTTCAACCACTGATATTTCAGGCTGTTAATCCAGATGTTAAATTTTTAGCAAACATGGTGGTTCTATAACACTGACAATTGAGGTGAAATCCTTCCCCCTACTCAAGTCAGTTTCAAAACACCCATTGACTTCAGTAGGGCCAGGACTTTTCCACTTTCACTTTTACTAGCAGGAAGCTCCCTTTATGAATATGGTGTAAAAGCCATCACATCTGAAATGGTAATATAGGCGGGTAACCCCTCCCAACTGTGCACTGCCCTTTTTTTTTTTTTTTTTTTTTTTTAAAAAAGGACTGATTTTGGCATACTGGCTCCCTACTGCAGTTGGCCAAACAGATCAAGTATTTGATGGACCATTCAGGGTCCTAAGTGTATATTTTACACAGTATATACTCTATTGGGTCAAATATGAGGTGTTTTATATTGTATTAAAACTTCAAAGGATCAAATCACAAGAAGAATATAGTGAGCACTGAAGCTCATAAGAATAAGGCAATTTAAACGTTAACACAAGTAGGACACATCACTTTCCCCACTGAGTCATGCCTAGACACCTGGTAACAGTGAGACATGCTCCAACTACGTACATTTCAACCTATCATCTCTCAACACAGAAGATGGAATGTCATTCCAGAATGTAATACTGAAAATGTAACGTTTCTTTGTTTTTTTAAAATCAGATCATTGTAAGGAAAGACTGTCTACATGGCAGTTCAGAAAACAAGACTAGATTAACCATGTGCAATACTCTAGCCATTTAAAAATAATTTCTTATTTAAACATTGACAACCACAACAGCCTTCTTTTAATGTATATGCATTTAAGGCTATATCCTTTGTGATATTTAAATAGCAATCTAATCAATATTGTGAGATAAACATTAAAAAAACCTTCCACTTTAAATCTTGTATGCCAAGTATCTTGCCGAACCAAAAGTGAAAGTTTAGAATAGAAATGTAGTCACATCAGTTTTGGGGTTTGAATCTGAGCTTTGATGTAACTGCCCACACCCTCCTCTGCTTAGTTTAACAGATTATGAAAAGCGTATTAATAATGCACTAGCGATTTAGAAATCTTTGAACATATACATGCCCAAAGTTACCCACCATATTTTCCTCACAGAGTACATGGTTATCTAAACAGAGTGACACTGAATATAAGCCAACGTTTATCACTTATCTCCTCTCTATGCTCTACACCTGTGATTCCCCTCACCAAACTTAGTACCCATGAAATCAAGTGATATGAGCCTTTAATATCATCTTTAAATACACTCCCTGGTGATTTAGGTCAAAGTCTTCTGAACCAGGTGCTGAAAGTTAAGCTCCTAAACTCATGGTCTGACACCAAAATGCAATTGGCCTGATTTTTCAGAAACTGTGAAGTAGAGGGGAGCTGAGGGTGCTTAGCACCTTGGAAAAATAGGCTGCTGTAATTCGTGTGTCTGGCCATGACCATAGCTTGAGAAGCCTAACTGAAAAGCATTCAGGTTGGGAGATTTTCCAGACTCTCAGCATGGGTCTAACTCCACCCTCATTGAAGTCAGTGGAAAAATCCTGGGAGTAGAGTGGATAGGTGCTTTTCAAGATTTTAAGGGACTAAGGATTTTGGCTACAGTTTACAGACATAAGATAACAAGGAGTACTCAAAAGGGTTTTATGTTTCTGCTGCTTAGACACAAGAGTGACTTCAAACACACAGTAAATTTATTGGTAAAATGAAGTCTTTTCTTGATAAATGCTAGAAACAGAAAAAAATGAATAAAAGCTTTGAACAAGGCAAATGGGAAGAAAAGCTGGTCTCAGAACCCATTGTGCCATACCTGACTTCAATGTGTGGTACACAAAATGTTCACACTCCTTACATCAAAATAATGAAACAAAAATATTCAGCTACATTGTACAAAATTTTTTATATACACACAAAACCTCATATCTAACAGATTTACCATACTGAATTTTAAAAAGTTGCCTGTAGAATGGTGTTGGATTTTTTTTCCTCTGCTTCCTTTAGGCAGTGCTGTTGCTTAAAAGTTGACACCAGGCACAGTATTTTTAAAACAAAACCAACTAAGCAAGGAGCAGTATGTGAATCTGAGCTTTTTTCCCCTCCCAGTCATCAGTCCTGAGGATGCTGCAACGTCCTCAATGTTTGAAGCTATGAAAGTAGTATCCATGATGAAGACAAAAGAATTGTGTGTTTTTTTTGTCTATTTATCTACTGTGAAGATTAGCAATACCACTTTCCCCAATTCCTCTCCCACACCTACTTCCTACATTAGAAACAAATACAATGCCCTACAAGTTGTGTGTATGTGTGATATAAAATTTCTCAATCAGAAGAATCATATTGCAGAGAAGCTGGACTTTAAGTAGAAAATCTACCCATACTAAGCCATGAGTTTCCATCCTAGACACACATGATAGTGTATTGACTTCTGTTCAATGTGCATACATATAGTTTTTAATCAAAAGGTGTCTTTTAGGTTCATCAATGACAGAGTTCCAGATTTTCTTTATTTTAAACAAAAACACAAAGGACAGCAGCATTTCTGATCACCTGAAATGGAAGCTCAATACAGATACTGCTCCTTCTGCAAAAGGAATAGGGCAGGGAAGGTGGGAAGGGGAAAGGAACCAACCATCCATGTGAAATTTGGGTAAACATGCTTAGGTGTGTGGGCCAAAACAAAAAATACCCATTTCAACATAAAAGCTTTGTGCAATATCAATTCATTTTTTAAAAATTATAGGATACTGGACATTTTGAAGAGTGCATTTTGAAGCAGAGAAAACTCAATTAAACACCTTCCTGCAACAGAGTGCCTCAATTAATTATAAATCAGAAGAAAATAAAACTTAAGATGTTCATATGTCCCAATCTTTTTTATTTTCCCCCAATACTATAAAAGATTGTGGGTTTTTTATGTATTTATAAACGGGCTCCTCAGCAGTTCATATACAATCATAGGTGAACTTTAAATTCCATTTTATACAAACATCTCAAAAATACTGGGAGTGAAGTATGGTAGAAAATATTGCTCACATTGCTAGTTAACATGCGTGTATGAAAGGAGGAAAATGGTTTGTTAGTGCACATCTCCAGAGAAGAAAACCCACCCCTCCAAAAGGAAAAGGAGAGAAAAAAAAAGAATACAGTAGCTGATTACAAAAAGGTAATGTCCACAAAATTAAGTTTTTCATGCTATTCTACTTTCCAGTACTATATACTAATTACTTTTTCAATTTATGTGCATGCCTAGGCCTCGAACACTTGAGGTATATAAAAAGAGATACCTGCACCTAGAGAAAAATCTTTAAAAGGGCTTTTTTAATATTGGTCAGGTGGGTTTTTTTGTGTGCTGCACAAAATTACATTAAATTTCACTCAACTATAATAACTTCCAATTTTACATTAGATGACAGGATGCCTCTATTTTCAGGCACTTTTGAAGGGGAGTTGTAATTTCATTGATCCAACTGCTGCATCCCATCCCACCCCACCCCCAAACAAATACAGGGAACATTTTCTACTAGAGCCTGATTTTGAATAAATCAAATGAATAAATGACAAAGAAAATGTATAATTAAAGAATGGTGGAACAGCCTAAAGTATTAGTTTTGCAAGACAGAAGATTGCTCCTTAGTATTTAAAACTAATTTAACAATTTAAATTTCACCCTTTTTTAAATATATGAATGAGACATAAATATAGGCTATTTATCTGTTTAAAAATTTCATTCACATAATGGAAAAATTCTTTTTTATTAAAAATATCACATTTTGAGACTAGAAACAGTAAAGTGCATGAAAAGTTTAAAATATAAATTCAAGAAAATCTTATAGCAGCAAAAAAGCAGAATAAAGAAAAACTTAAAAACACAGACACAACCTTTTCCTATTACTGTGCCATATATATATATATATATTTTTTTTAAACAGTAAGCAGCCAACCAATTTCTTTCAGAAAATTGCATTATGTTTACTGCCTCTTGAGGCACAACATTTTGAACTGGCCACCTAGAGTGTAAAAAGAGATTTCCAACACAGCTAATGAGCGTTAACAGTTGGGAATGAACCAGCAGCTTTTTAATTAACCTTGACAGAAAACAGAAACAAAAGAATTAAAAGCATACGATGGCTATTTGGCAACTAGGGTCAGGAAAAAGAACCACATAAATAAAAGCACTTAGACAGCTATTTAACATGCTCTTTGGAGACAGAAGTAACATTTCCAGAGGTTTTTTTTCTGTACCCTTAACTTAACCAGTATCTCTAATCCAAAGTTTTTTATTTTTGCAATTTAACATGAGAAAAAGGAACCGATGAGTTGCTCTTCACTAATAAGAAAACTTGTAGCTTTTTTTTTAGTGCAATTTCTTAATTTTAGGTTTCTAAATCCTGTTTCCCAACTTGTGCTGCAAAAGTTTCCCCATCATGGTCTGTCACAATAGGAGGATTTCTTTGTTAGGCATCTCAAAACAGGGCATCAGTTTGGATTCCTGAATTTCTTAACCAAGATAAAGAGTGTCAAGACAGTTACCACTATGTTGTCTGCCAACCAAAAATTCTATGTGGCATTAAATGCACAGGTCCAAATTCTGATGGCATAATTCCGTTGTATTCAATGGAGTTGCACCAGGAGATAATTTAGCCCTTCAATATGTTTTCCAGTATTAGCTAGCTGAGGGGAAGGGGGGAGGCTGTACTGCTAATAATTTAATATTAAGTGCTTTGCTAATGTGCAAAATTAATTTTGGATTTAGAACCCAGATGTTTATTTTGAGCTCAGTAAAATGGTATTTTTCATTATTCTCCCTTAAAACTGAAACAGGTTTTGAAGTATTGTAATTTTCAGTTTGCTTTTGTATTTTTGGGGGTTTTATTTATTTATTTTTTTAAAAGGAGGGCTCGTTGTGCTATGATTTGGCAGAAAGCATTAATTTTACATAGATGACTATGCAAATTTTGAATCTGATTTGCCCATTTTACAAACTCAGCTTCCTAATGAAACAATAAGATGACCAGTTTAAAAAAATTAAATTAAAATCCTGGAAAGGAACTAATACTTTGGTTCCAGCCCTAGTGCCAAATGATACCAACATGCACCAAAATGTGCAAAATCTCATATCAAAACGCACAATGAAAGGAGCTTGAAGAAGCAGCTTAAGGTTGGCCATACTTCACTCCTACATACTTTGATTTACAACTGTACAGGTCCATAACAACAGGTCCCAGCCCTCAAAGGGGCAGGGCTCCACTACCTCCGGTTAGGTAAGTGTACGCCGTTGACAAGAGGCGGGAGCGGAGGGTGGAGCTCAAGCTGTGTTAACAGTGAAAAGTGGTCTGAAGGGATGTGAGGGTGTGGACACCCAGTGATGTTGTTCTCAACCAGCCACTGAGGATCTAAAGGCCCCAGAACGCCAAGTACGTTCATATGAGTGTTGGAATAGAAAATGTAGTCAATCACACCCTAAAGGGAGAGAGAAAAAACAGTCTGTTAGAACAAGGAGGTCACAAGCCATCGTTTAACATTTTCTTAAGATGTATTTGGAACAGTTGTTCACTATTGCTAGCTCCTCACTACCAAGGTCAACAGAAATAAAGCCCCACACGAATGTACAAGATACTCGGGGTTCTGTAGACACAGGAGATATGGAGATAAAGGTAGATTTCTGGAATGTGTCTCTAGGAAGCAGAGTCTGAACTATACTGCGAATGAGAGGAGGATACAGAACAGAGGGGATTCGGCATGTATGTAGAGGGAGGCAGAGGTGGAGTACAATATCAGCTCCACAGCGGGAGCGGGGAGGAGGGAACGGTCATCTTAAGATTCCATTGAACTGACAAATGGAGAGTCCAGTTCTCTGATGTAGTCAAATGAAAGCGACTCTACAGTGCAAAGATTGTTATAGGAGTAACAACCTCAAGGTCACGGATTCCAAAGAAATTAATGATCTGCAGATTTTAAGAGCAGAGGTCAAAGTCTTAAATCATAAGAACAGCCATACTGGCTCAGACCAAAGGTCCATCTAGCCCAGTAGCCTGTCTGCCAACAGTGGCCAGTGCCAGGTGCCCCAGAGGGGGTGGACCAAAGACAATGATCAAGCAAATTGTCTCCTGCCATCCCTCTCCAGCCTTTGACAAACAGAGGCCTGGGGCACCATTCTTTACCCCCGGCTATTAGCCTTTTATGGACCTAACCTCCATGAATTTATCTAGCTCTTTTTTAAACTCCTAGCCTTCACAGCCTCCTCTGGCAAGGAGTTCCACAAGTGAAGAAGAACTTTCTTTTATTAGTTTTAGACATGCTAACCATTAATTTCATTTGGTGTCCTCTAGTTCTTATATTATGGGAACAAGTAAATAACTTTTCTTTATTTCCCCTCTCCACACCACTCATGATTTTATATACCTCTATCATATCCCCCCGCAGTGTCCTCTTTTCTAAACTGAAGAGTCCCAGTCTCTTTAGCCTCTCCTCATATGGGACCCGTTCCAAACCCCTAATAATTTTAGTTGCTCTTTTCTGAACCTTTTCTAATGCCAAAATATCTTTTTTAGGTGAGAAGACCACATCTGTATCCAGTACAGTATACTATAGTTTTATATAAGGGCAGTAAGATATTCTTTGTCTTATTTTCTATCCCTTTTTTAATAATTCCTAGCATCCTATTTGCTTTTTTGACTGCCCTGCACACTGAGTGGATGTTTTCAAACAACTATCCACGATAACTCCAAGATCTCTTTCCTGATTAGTTGTAGCTAAATTAGCCCCCATCATATTGTATGTATAGTTGGGGTTATTTTTTCCAATGTGCATTACTTTACACATATCCACATTAAATTTCATTTGCCATTTTATTGCCCAATCACTCAGTTTGGTGAGATCTTTTTGAAGTTATTCACAGTCTCTTTTGGACTTGACTACCTTGAACAGTTTAATATCGGCCGCAAACTTTGCCACCTCACTGCTTACCCCTTTCTCTAGGTTGTTTATGAATAAGTTGAATAGGATTGGTCCTAGGACTGACCCTTGGGGAACACCACTAATTACACCTCTCCATAGTCTTTTCCCAATTGGTCACTAACTACAAGGAAATGCCAGACCTAGGGCCATCATTGTTTATTCTGTGGCTGAATGTCTAAAACTGATGCAATGACGGTGCCAAGCAATGTTATATGTGCATATGCTATTCACAGCAGATCAATGTTTATGTTTAATGTCTGAAGAAGAAGAAAAGCAGAAAAGTCGTAAACCAGCAGACAACTAGATGCCTTTCAAAATTTGAAAACCTACATCAAGCAAAGAATTAAAAGGAGCATAACTACAGTAGGCAACAGGCAAGAAGGAAATTCAGAAGGATATGATGGGATTCAAAATGCAAATAGATAAAAGGCGTAACAAAAGAAATTCTGTACGAATATCAGAAGCAGGAAGCTTGTGAAACAAACAAAAATCCAAAGTATGCTTGCTCCCCAGGATTAGAGTGTGCAATGAAGGAAGATTAGGAACTCAGAAAGAAGCTAAAATGATTTATTTGCACCAGTATTTGCCACAGAAGATGTTGACTAGATACCGGTTCCAAATTCCCTCATTGCTGATCATAAAAATGAACTGTCAGCAGAGACTGAACTGTCAAAATAAGACCTGTTGGAGCAAACTCTGTCTCATAGCACACGTATAAGCAAACTTTCAATTAAATTAAATTAAATTAAATTAAATTAAATTAAATAGGTGGCAAATTCAAAGCCCATAACACAAAATAGTTTCACAGTCTAATTACATATTGTATGAAAAAGTAGCTGCCCACAGGATATCATTGAGGTCAATAACTTGGTTTGATTCAGGAAGAGATTGGACATTTATATGGATAACAAGAACAGGCACATTTATACAGCATTTGATACGGTCTCGCATGACCTTATTAATAAACTAGAGAAATGCAATGTAGATGTGGCTACTATAAGGTGGGTGCATAACTGGTTGGACAACCATTCTCAAAGAGTAGTTATTAACAGTTCACAATCATGCTGGAAGGACATAACAAGTGAGGTTCCACAGGGGTCAGTCTTGGGACTAGTTATGTTCAATATCTTCAACAACGATTTAGATACTAGCATAGAGAGCATGCTTATAAAGTTTGCAGATGATTCCAAGGTGGGAAGGATGTGGAGAAAGTCCCAAGAAGAGCAACAAAAATGATTCAAGGTCTAGAAAACATGATCTTTGAGGGAAGTCTGAAAGATTTGGGTTTATTTAGTTTGAAAAAGAAAAGACTGAGAGGAGACACGATAGCAGCTTTCAAGTACAGGCAGTCCCCGAGTTACGCGGATCCCGCCGCCCGCGTACTCCGGGGCGAGAAAACCTGCTCCGCGTCTCCCTGGTCTGCAGACCAGGAAGACGCCGAGCAAAGCCGCGGAGGGGCTCGGGCAGCCGGGCAGCCCAGGCACGCCTGGGCTGTCCCGCCGCTGGCTTCCCCCGCGGCTTTTCAAAGCCGCGGAGGGGCTGGGGCCGTGGGGGAGGCCAGGCG